TTCAAAGGAATGTATTAATAAATTAACACGAAAAGGGGTAATTTCCTCCATCTGAAAAGGGGAAAGTGTGTATATAGAAAAATTGATTTTAAAATATTACGTGCAAACAAGAAAATGACATAAAAGTGTTTTAAATCCTTGGCAATTTTATCAGTAACTAGTTAAAAAGCCAGAATTTATTAATCCCCAAAGTATGGAAGCAGAGGACAGGACTATAAGGCCAACATTAAACCAAATAATATCTCTTTTAGACAATCTCTTTTTTAAGGATAATTTAAAAAAAATTTTTTTTTTTGGTTTTAAAGTACCTCTCATGTAGGAAGATTTGTTTAGGTCAGTATTCTCCAAAGAAGCATCAAAATTCCCGATTGTCCCTTCTGAAATTGTCCTAACAACAGAAATTATCATGTACATTTGCCTTACAATGAGAAAAACTGAAGAACTATGTCTTTTATAGAAAACATTCAAGACAATAGAGGTAATAAAGTGGGTGTCAACCGGCTAGAAAGCAGTTGTTGCATTTTATAAATCTAATCAGTAACTAAAATGTCTCAGGATTTATTCCTAGGTATTTAGTTGCAGCTCTAACTTGGTTATTGTAAATGGTGCTGCAATAAACACAGGTGTGCATGCATCCCTTTGGGTGAGTGTATCTTCAGACAGATACCTCAGGATGGAATTGTTGGATCATTTGCTATACCCATTTTTAAAATATTTTGAGAAACTCATTTCCACTGGGGCTGGATCAGTCTACATTCCCACCAACAGAGTACAAACGTTTCTTTTTCGCCACATCCTCACCAACACTTGTGTCTGGTTTACTTGTCAAACTTATCAAATTCTCACAGGTATGAGATGCTATCTCATTGTGGATTTGAATTACATTTCCCTTGTGATAAGTGGGTATGAGCATTTTCTCATGCACTGATTGGCCATCTGTATATATATATATATATATATATTTTTTTTTTGAGAATTGATGGTTTAATTCTTATGTTCATTTTTAAATTTTCTTCTTGCTAAGTTGTAGTTCTGTGTAGATCTTGAGTTTTACCCCTTTGGGAGATGTATGATTTGCAAATGTTTTCTCCCATTCAGTAGGGTTGCTTTGTTTTAAGGATAGTTTTTTTCACTTTGCAGAAACTTTTGAATTTGAGGTAGCCCCACTTTCTTTTGTTCCCACTCCCCCCTTGCTTTAGGAGATGATTTTCCAAACACATTACTGAAGTAAATGTTGTGGTATGTTTCACCTGAGTTTTTTTTTCTTTCTATGTATTTATGGTTTTAGGTTGCAACTCAGTTTTTAATCCATTTTGACTTAATTGTTGTCTATGGTGTGATAATTATGATTTAATTTTACTATGTTATAAGTACAGTCTAACCAACGCAATTTGTTGAAGAAACTTTCCCTTCTCTATTGCATATTCTGTGTCAGAGATTAACTGTCATGTAAATGTGGGTTTCTGTCCAGACTCTCAATTCAACTCCCTTCTTTCTCTTATTGATTAGGATTGATTTGACTACTTGAGGTCTTTTGTGGCCCACTGTTTTTCTGTAATTTCAGTTCTATGTGAAAAATGCCATTGAAACTTTGATAGAAATTGCCTTGAATTTCTTTTATATTGCTTAGAGTAGGATGATCATTTTACCAATGTAAATTCTTCTAACCAATGGAATGAGAATATTTTTCCATCTCCTTGTGTCATTTTCTATTTATTTCAATAATGTTTTATGGTTTTCATTGTACTGTTTCTTCACCTCCTTTGTTAAGTTTATTCCTAGATATTTAATATTTTTTTTGATACAAGAGAGAAGGGAGGTTATTTTCTTGATTTCTTTCTTTTCAGTTCATTGTTTATATATGAAAATGCAACTAGTTAGTAGGTTGATTTTGTAACCTACCCTGTACTGTACTGATTTACTTTGTCTAATAGTTTTTAGTATAGTCTTGAGTGTATATTTAGTGTAGATTTTAGTATAATCATGTCATCTGCAAATTATAGTTTTACTTCTTTTCCAATTTGGATTCTTTTGATATCTTTCTCTTGTCTTATTTCTCTAACTAGTATTCCCAATACTGTGTTGAATAGTAGTGGCAAACACAGGCATCCTTTTCTTAGATCTTAGTGAAAAATCTTTCATCTTTTCACCATTGATAATGTTAGCTGTGGGTTTGTCATATATATGACCTTTATTATATTATATATTCCTTTTATTCCCATTTTTGAGGATTTTTATCATAAATGTATGTTGAATCTTATCAAATGCTTTCTTAGCACTATTACTATGAGCATATAATTCTTATCTTTCCTTTTGTTGTTATGGGGAGTTATCATAGGCTGACATTTGGATGTTGAACACCTTTACATACCTGGGATAAATCACATTTGGTCATGATATTTTAATGCATTATTCAGTTCAGCTTGCAAAGATTTTGTAGATTCTTGCATCTTTGTTGATCAGGGATATTGGTCTTTAATTTTCTTTTTTGTGTGATGGCTTAGTATGCTTTTGGTATCAGAGTACTGCTGGCCTTAGAAAATATGTTTGGAAATATCCCCTTTTTCCTAATTTGGGAGAGTTTGAGAAAGAGAGTTATTAGTTCATCTTTGAAAGTTTGGTAGAACACACTAGCAAAACCATCTGGTCCTGGGCTTTTGTGTTTGGAGAGAATTTTTTGCTTACTATTTCAGTTTCCTTACTTGGAATTGGTCTGTTCAGGTTTTCTATTTATTCCTGATTCAGTTTTGGAAGATTGTATAGCTCTAAAAAATTCTCCATTTCTAAAAAATAAATACTGGATGATCTCTCTTTTATGTGGAATATAGAGAAACCACATGAACGGTCAAGAGAAAACTTAAAACTAACAAGTGACCATAGAACTAAGGCATTCAGGGCTCTTTCTGGTGGCACAGAAGTTAAAGTCTCAGTGCTAATACCAACCTATCACCAGTCACTGAGGCATAAGTTCAATCTTTGGCCAGGGAACTAACCCACTTGGCACAGACCTGTCTCATCTCCTGTCTCACCTCCCATCTCATTCTCCTGTCTCATCTGTTGCTCCCCTCAGCAGTGTATTTCAGTAGATCTGCCTGTTCTGCTCCCACTCTGTCTCTGGTGAATCCCCTCACCTCCCACACCTCTGGCCAAGACCCCAGTTCTTGTATGCATAAATACTTAAAAATAAATCTTAAAAAATAAAGAACTGAGGTATACACAAAGGAGGAAGTGGGAAGGTGACAAAACTGAAGAGGGAAGAACACAGGGAATATGGTGACAGTTCATGTAGATAAGATGGGGTATCTATGGGGATGACAACGATTTAAGGAAAAAGCTTAATAAAAAAAAATTTTCATTTCTGGTCCACTACTCATTATTAGCATATAGATAGATGCTCAAATTAGTCTCATGGCCCACTGTTTTTCTGAGATGTTTGTTGTTGTTTCTCCTCCTTGATTTTTGATTCTCTTTTTTAGAGTTTTCCCCTTTTTTCCCTGTAAGCCTAGCTAGAGATTTGTCTATTTTATTTTTTCAAAGAACCAATTTTTTGTATCATAGATCTTTTAGACTCTTTTTGATTTCTATTTCATTTATTTATAATTACTATTATTAGTCTTCCTTTGTCTGGCTTTTGGTTTTTTTTGTTTACCTTTTTAAATTCCTTAATGCACAAGGTTAAATTATTTATTTGAGTGCTTTCTTATTTTTTGAGGTGGCCCTATATTGTTATGTACCTTTTGTTATGAATTTCTTTTTTTTAATATTTTTTTCTTACATCATTGTTATGTATTTCCCTCTGTTTTTGTTGTATTCCACAGATTCTGCTATTCTGTGAACTTCATTTTCATTTTATTAATGTATTCCATATATGTATAAGTCTATGGGTGTCCACACACACACACATATACATATATATATAAAGAAAGTAAGGTTTTCGCACTTCACTTGAACTGGTCCATTATGCCAATAGACTGTGACAGTCTTTTATATTTATATTACATACATAAAACATATATACAAATAGTATACATTATATACACATGCATACATATACATATAAAAATGAAGTATCACATTCTTACCTCCTTTACACTACCTTATTTACAATATATTTGTTTTTGAACATTTATCCCGATTTAGTTTTTGTTTCAGTCATCAAACATAGCTTAGACTCAAAAAGAGAAAGAGAGCTTCTTGTGTTCGTTTTTCTTTTCTGATATTCCTTTTTCAAATTTTATTCTTTTCTTAGCCATTCTATAGTGATAGGTCTATTGATTACAAATGCTGTTAGGTTTTCCATCATTTGAGAATGATCTCTCCCATAAATCTCTGACCTCTCCCATAAACCTGGATATTTTTGCTGACTACTGGGCTTTTCTTTCAGCAGTTAAAAATGTGTTACTTCCAGGCCCTCTCTGGTGGCGCAGCAGGTTAAAGCACAGCACTAAGAAGCTAAAGCATGAGTTTGATCCCTGCCCCAGAAGTGATCCACAGGGGCAGACCTTTCCTGACTCACCCACTGCTCCCCTCAGCAGTGTACTTCATTGATCTGCCTGTTCTGCTCCCCACTCTGTCTCTGGTGAATCCTCTCACCACACCCATGCCTCTGGCCTGTACCCCAGTTCTGTATAAATAAATAAATAAATCTTTTTTTTTATAAATCAAGTTATTAAAAAAAATGTTATTTCCTTCTACCTTTCACATATGCTGATGCAAAACTTGTTGTCCAATATATTTAGACTGCAATGTCACAGGCCACTCATATCAACATAACCTAAATTCTCTAAGTTTAAGACTTTAACTTGAGTGGAATAAATTAAGTTTTATTCAGAATCCCAGCAATCTATCATGAAATGAAAAGGACCAAATGATGAAGACTTAGCCAATGTTTTTGACTCAAATTTCAAAGAAAAGCTAATACTTCTCCCAGTTTTATTAAAACCTAGGAAGATTTAACTAGTGATGAAAAAGTAACTTTTTGTGTCTTTTTTTTAATCTAGCTCAGAAAAGAGACTTCCACCCTTTCTTCTGACTATCTCCATATCAGAAATGGAAACCAATGGCAACATTAGTAATGGAAGCAGCAGGAACTGCCTGAGTGACGAATTCAAGAAGAATTTTTATCCCATTGTGTACTTAATAATATTTGTCTGGGGACTCCTGGGTAATGGCTTTTCTATATATGTTTTCCTGCAGCCTTATAAGAAGTCCACATCTGTGAATGTTTTTATGCTAAACCTGGCCATTTCAGATCTTCTATTTATAAGTACATTGCCATTCAGGATTGACTATTACCTCAGAGGCTCCAATTGGCTATTTGGGGACATAACCTGCAGAATTGTATCATACTCCTTGTATGTCAACATGTACAGCAGCATTTATTTCCTGACTGTGTTGAGTGTTGTGCGCTTCCTGGCAACTGTTCACCCCTTCCGGCTCCTCCATATCACCAGCATCAGGAGTGCCTGGATTCTCTGTGGGTTCATATGGTTCCTCATGATGGCTGCTTCAGCAGTGCTTCTGAGTGATGGCTCTAGGGATGTAGGCAGTACCACAGCATGCTTAGATCTGAACCCCGGTAACTTTATTAAAATAAGAATAATGAATTACATCGCCCTGGTGGTAGGCTTCCTGTTGCCACTTTGCACACTTAGTGCCTGCTACCTGCTAATCATCCGAGCCTTGTTAAAGGTGGAGGTCCCAGGGCTGCGCGTTTCTCACAGGAAGGCGTTGATCACTATCATTATTACCTTAATCATCTTCCTTCTGTGCTTCCTGCCTTATCACATCCTGCGAACCCTCCACCTGCGTGTATGGAACGAGAACTCATGTACGGACAAGTTGCATAAATCTGTGGTCATCACACTGACCTTTGCAGCAGCCAACACCTGCTTCAATCCTTTGCTCTATTACTTTGCTGGAGAGAATTTTAAGGATAGATTAAGGTCTGCATTCAGAAAATGTCATCTACAGAAAACAAAGTACAATTTTCCTATCTGTATATGGTCAAACAAGGAAACACCAGTGTAAGATTTTATTAAGTGAGGCCTGTTCTTATATTCTTGTGTCCACCTTCATTCACACATCATGTCCAAAGGAGGCCTGTGTGCACCATTCCCAACAAAGCAACATTTGTTAGTCATCATTTTGTTAATAGGACCATCCTTAAGATTTTCATCTTGTGTATTTTCGATTGTTGAGTCTAAATGAAGAATAAAAAAGGAAAAATCTCTACTAGATTATTTAACCTGAAATGTCAGACTGAGAAAAAATATTGAACACTGTGAATGCTGTTTTTCATCAGATTCTAACAATATTTCTGGCCTATCAGGCATTCTGAAGTCCTAGCTTTAAGATAACCTTAACTTCCCTCAGCTTCTCCAGTTCCTCCTCCCTTTTCAATCCCCTTAGATATAGCCAATTAACAAAACTACTAGAGTCCCAACAGCATATAAGAAAAGCACCTTAAGATATGGGGAGAAAGTCTTTGTGAAAGGGAATGCTGCTTTCTAACAAAGCAGGACCAAGGTCTCAAATAAGAACAGTGAAAGAAAAAGAGGGCCAAGATTGGAGGAAGAAAGAACTAGTAAGTAGATGGAGGAAGCAAGGAATTCATTTTGCATTGAGGGAGGGCTTGAGCACACTGCAGGCAAGAAGGTTCCCTTTGTCTCTCTCTTTCCAGGGGATTAGGAAGGACAGATGATCTCCCTGGTGGAAAATGACCAATCATGAAAAATGGCCACCAGGTATTGACAGGGGATTACTCTAATCTCTTACCTATTCCTTATCTGACAATACAGCCCCCAATACAGCTAATCCCTTCTATTCAAAGCATTTAAGCAGCCAGTTAGTCTCATTTTTAATTGGGATTAATCAATTACTACTACATGTTGGGGGAGAGGCCTGAACAGTAAAAGTACCAATGTGCCAATGAATAAATAAAAGATAGCAACATTTTTAGTGTGAAACATATTAAGATTTTTTAAATCACTTTTGCACTTTTCTTGGATATACACTTGGAGATCTTGGAATAGATATTAAATATGCTGAAAAATAAATGAAAAGAGTGTCATTACTAGATATTAGGAACAGAGAAACTGTTGTATAAGAGATAACTATAACTGTAATACACTACATGCTGAATTGTGAATAGTATTTACATAAAGGACAATGTAAATAGAAAAACACTGATAAAATTTCTTTCAGAAAGTGAGAGAAAGGATGAGTATGTGGTAGGGAAGCGATAGGAAATCTAAGTCCCCATCTTACATTACTGAAAATGCTTATTAGTAGTGAAAGTTAAAGAATGATGTATTTTTAAAAAGCCTATTTAGCAACAACTAAAATGCAGAACAGCAAGAATTGGCAAAGATTGCACCTGGAGAGAAATTGGAGTGGGAAGCTTTGGCGGGGACTTCTCCTTTTGAAAACTGTTTCACTGCCTAACTTTCAAATATGTACTGCTGACATTAAATAAAAATTAAGTTAACAGTAAATCTTAAACTTCAAATTAATTCTGAGAGTTTTTGTTTGTTTGTTTGTTTGTTTGTTAATGAAAAAGGTTACTAGAAGGGGAAATTGAATACCAATAGGAGAAAGGAGGCAGGAGATGACTGGATTTGAAGTTGATAGAGGCCTGCTTACTTCTTCCATGAGAGGGAGTTCTCTCTTTGGGTGAAGGCAGGCATTTCCTGGGGTCACAGGTGATCTGGATGTCAAGATGTTTGTAGCTGCAACTAACAGAAAACCCAGTGGCTTAAACAATCACTATCTCTTCTAACTGAAGAAACAGAAGTAGTTGGACTTTGGACTTTATTAATAAAGAAGGGTTTCTGTGAACCTTCCACTCTGGCTATTGGCCTGGTCCTACAGCTGAATCTTCCCCTGAGAACAGTTGAATGCAAGTAGCCTGAGGCTATGTATTTCTTGTATCCAGGATAAGAACAAAGTATATGTTCCCTGAGTCATTTAAACAATCCTAAACTTATTTTTAATTGGCCCTACTCAAATTAATACCAGCTCCTAAACTAAAGCAAAGATGGGTCCGCTCTAATCATATGAGGATGATCAGAGTCTCCACCTGGATTGGAGTTGGTAGTTAAGCCTATTGAAATCTCAGAAGGGAAAGGAGTGAGATGGAGCATGTGGAGGCCACATGCTCTGGATCGAAAGTAGAGTGGAAAGAGAACTGCAGGTCAGCCAGTCATCCATGTAGGGGATGGATTTACCTACTCAGCAAGCCCAGTAGCTGAGGAAGGGAGGAGGTAAAATAGGCTTGAGGAAGAAGGGTGAAAGCTAAATACGTGCTTATACTGTGAAATCATAAAGATGTTCAATAGCAATCATAAATTTTAACAAATTTCCATGGCTAAAATAGCTTTCTAGATAAAGCTGGAAATTACTGATTGTAATCAAGGTTCTTGGGATTAACAATAGTGGAGGGTGTATGAGCTATTAGTGTCTTTAAGCCTTATAGGGTATGCATTTGTGGGTGGGCATGAGAGACAGACAGGCAAACAGAGATACAGAGATACAGAGAGAGAGAGAGAGAGAAATCAAAAGATGTTAAGAGGGGGAAACTGTTACCAGACACAAACAAAGGGATATTGAGACCCCAAACTTTTAAGAAGAAAAATGTGTGTCACCAATTCTAAGGGTTCATGCTTACCCATATGGGCAAAAGGAAAGTAATCAAACACTGGTATGCCCAAAGATCCTCAGTTGGTGAGATGTTCACAGGGAATAGAGAATGGGAGAAAATGAGTAGGGGAGAAAAGGATTTAAAGATATGGACCCTCAAACAGTGAAACCAGCCACCCCCATTGCAGGCAAATGTTCAGCTCTGCAGGCAGGACTTTGGTCAAGTGGTCAAGACCCAAGACCAGAACCTGTAGGAGAATGAACACAAGCCAGCCTCCTGGCCAGAAACATAAGTAAGAGATTGTGCGGGACCTGAAGAGCTGGGAGAGAGGTGAGAACCAAAGTTTCAATGGACTACCAAAGTCTCACTGGGTAAGCAAGATGGCTTCTGCCACAGTCCCTTAAGAGTGCAGGGGCCAGCCAACCGCCAAAGAGCTAATGCTGGAAAAAGAGCAGTAGGCGGGAGCCAGCTGAAGGGGCCCACATGAGGACCTGAGTAGGAGAAGGAGTCCCCATTGCCCCAAAGGGGGGGCACCCAAACTGAAGGAGGAGCAGAAATTTCTTTCTTAATGCCTGCCCACAGTGTTTCATGTGCCCTGAAGCTTCATCCCACATTTGGCCAGGTGTAGAGGCAAGATTCACATCTCTCAGCTCTCTGCATTCAGGAAATCACAGGGCTGAAGTGGCAAGACTCAGGACTCTCTTGTAATACTGAAAACTTTGAACTTATTCTTCCTTTTTCCAAGATTGTTCCTTTTCCAGTCAGGACTGGTGAAGAATGTTGTCCTTGAGGAAAGAAAATAAAATTCTGCTTGCCAAAGTGAAAGCCAAGGGTGCCCTGGGGTTTTAGATTCAATTCTTTTTACTTGAGAGATTAGGCACCCCCCTCAAGCAACTATATAAGAAAGTGTTTCTATTTTATAAACGCTGCTAGCACTATGATACAGGAGTTGTACATTTTTGGTGGAGACATAAAATAAAAATGCTGGGCCCTCCCTGATGATGCAGTGGGTTAAAACACAGCACTAAAGAGAAACGGCAAGATGGTCGCAGAGTAAAGAAGCCGAGATCACTGCGTCCAGGCTGACCCAGGAATTTAGGGCTGAAAACGGACTATAGACGTACATACTTTGAGTTTCAACCCAAATGAGAACACCCTGGACTCACTAGAAGGAAGATAACAGAGGGAGAATTGGCAATTGGGGAGTTCAGAAAAGAGAATTCCCCTCCCCCTCCCTGGGAGTGTTCAGGCACCTGGAAGTTTGGGGGACTGCAGGAGCCATTTAGACTCTCAATAAAGCCCTGGAGGTGAAGGGAGACGGCTCAGCTCAGTGAGTGGAGCCCAGGCTGAGGAAAGACTGCAGATCCGAGCCAGAGCAACTGGGCACTGGGAAAAGCCACTGACAGACTAGCTTGACCAGCTTGGGAACAGGCAAGATAGCAGCAGAGTAAAGACGCCGAGACGATTATGTCCAAGATTGCACGGGAATATATAAAAATGGACTATAGGCTTACATGCTACAAGTTTCAAATGGACTATAAACTTACATGCTACGAGTTTCAACCCAAATGAGAATACCTTGGGCTCATTAGAAGGAAGATAACTGAGGGAGAATTGGCGATTGGGGAGTTCCGATAAGGGAACTCCTACTTGGAAGCACCACAGGCAGGATAAGTGGAACCCTGCAACATTGATCCGGAGAACACCAAGGCTCTAGCACTGCAGACCGAAGCTTCTTGCTCATTCGGCTCAGTGAGTAGAACCGAACCGTGGGAAAAGACTGCACGAGTGGGCACATAGAGTCCAGGGGGTGGGGAAGAAAAATCTGGTGATCTGGTTACTGGGAACATACCTCAACATGATAAAAGCCATATATGACAAACCCACAGCCAATATTATCCTCAATGGAGAAAAGCTGAAAACCTTTCCCTGGAGATCAGGAACAAGACAAGGGTGTCCACTATCACCACTGCTCTTCAACATAACATTGAAAGTTCTAGCCAGAGCAATAAGACAGGAAAAAGACATACAAGGAATCCAAAAAGGGAAAGAAGAAGTAAAACTGTCCTTATTTGTAGATGATATGTTGATCTACATGGAAAAACCTAAGAACTCCACAGAGAGACTAATCAAATCCATCAACCAGTTTAGCAAGGTAGCAGGATATAAAATCAACACACAAAAATCAGAGGCTTTCCTATACACAAACAACCAATCAGAAGAAACAGAAATAAAAAAAAAAGCCATCCCCTTTTCAATTAAACAAAAAGAATCAAATACCTGGGGATCAATCTAACAAAACAGGTAAAAGACCTATACCATTAATTACAAAACACTGTTAAAAGAAATACAAGAAGACACTATGAAATGGAAAGACATCTCCTGCTCATGGATCGGGAGAATTAACTTCATCAAAATGGCCATCCTACTAAAAGTAATATACAGATTGAACACCATCCCAATAAAAGTCTCAATGACATTCTTCAAAGAAATAGAAAAAATTTTGATGAGATTCATATGGAACCACAAAAGACCTTAAATAGCCAAAACTCTCATAACTAGGAAGATAGAGAATGGAGGCACTACAATCCCAAACCTCAAGCTATACTACAAAGCCATAATAATCAAAACTGCGTGGTACTGGAACAAGAACAGACATACAGACCAGTGGATTCAAATAGAAAGCCCAGATAGAAACCCACAGGTTTAATATTTGACAAAGGAGCAAAGAAGATACAATGGAACAAAGAAAGTTTGTTCAGCAAATGCGGCTGCAAAAACTGGGAAGCTACATGCAAAAAATGAAACTAAATCACTATCTCTCACCATACACAAAAATCAACTCGAAGTGGATTAAAGACCTAGACATAAGAACGGAAACCATAAGATACCTGAAAGCAAAGATGGGCCTAACACTACACGACATACACGTCAGCGACATCTTTAAAGATAGAGCACCCAATGTAATGATAGTGAAGGCAAGGATAAATAGATGGGACTATATCAAGTTAATGAGCTTCTGTACAGCAAAAGACACATTACAAAAAACAAACAGA